AATTATGTATTATTATTATTATTATTATTATTATTATTATTATTGAGTAATGGTTTATGTTTTTATAGTTTAAAAATATAATAAAAGCGTTATAATTATTTTATGATTGATGATAATAACTGTTATTGAGTAATGTTTATATTTTTTCTATTTTCTGTTATTTTTATATTAAAAATATACTAATAATATATAACTATTTCTAATTATTTAATAAAGATAATAGTTATTATTATTATTATTATTGAGTATAACTAAATTAGATTTTTTTTTTATAACTAATAATAATAATAATAATTATTATTATTATCATTATCATTAAGCTATAAATGGTACTGAATCGTAATAACCTGTTTTTGTAATCAAGCACAAATCTCAAGCACACAGCAACAGTAAAGCACAGCAGTGTGTTATCGGCCCTCACGGCCCTTCACACGTCTCTGCTCTCTAGTCAGTCCTGGTTAAGCTGAACTAACATGAAAACCTCGCCAGCTCTAGGAAATGATCCTGGGGAAGCATTTATGAACAATACCTGATACACGATATCTCGGCATGATATTTAATTCCCAGAATGCCGCAGGAGGAGCCTCACAAGACAAGACTAATCAGTGTCAGCTAAAAACAGTGGAACATCTTAGCATTACATACTGTATATACAGTATATAGTATGAATACTGACCAAAATATGCACTATTTCCGCACACGGAATACCAGGTGACCTGTTACATATATAAAATAATGAAACCCACAATGCAATGTGACGAGCTTTTCACAGCCAGGCATTTCAAACCACTTATATAAAGATTACATGAAATAAAGCTGAATTATTGTTGTTGTTGTTGTTGTTTAAACTATAAACAATATGCCATAACAACAACAATTATTATTATTATTATTATTACGCTTCTATTATTTTAAGCTAAAAATATGCTAAATAAAAAGAAAATATAATAATTAAAATAAAATAATGATTGTTGTTTGTTATTCTTATTTTAAGCTAAATAATAATGTTAATAATAATTTATTTTTAAAATATAAGTAATACACTAAGACAACAATTATTACAATTATTATTATTATTACTACTATTACTACAGTTAGTATTATTTTGAGCTAAAATATTATAGTGTATTAAAGCTATAAAGAATACACTATAATAATAATTATTATTATTATAATTGTTGTTATTTTAAGCTAAAATTTATTTTACAAATTATAAAAAAATAAAGTAATATATTTTAAAATTTTTTTATAGATTATAAAAATAAGAATAGTATTTGTCTTGACAAATGAATGACCATTTTCATAATTCAATTGCAAAACAACTGTATCTATACATCCATGATGATCACCAAGCATTGAGGTTGATATTTCTTCATCGGATTGGAAATGGGGGTCTATTGCATTGTGGGATACAGTATTTTGCACAGTGTGCTCTAATTACATGCAGTACATTTTATACAAACTGTCCACAGTATACAGTACATACTATATATTGCAGAAATACAATGGTACTATGCTATTCTGCATACAGCCTTACTGTTGCATATAATAAAAAAATAAATAAAAGTAGGCACTAGAATGTAAACAGCGCAGTATTAATTAGTAAGCTAGTGTTTCATTGTGTATTTTAAGCACTGAACAACAGTATCCTGCAAAGTCTGTATTACTAATAATGTAAATATGATTTGTTTCCGTAAGACTTGACAAGAACCTGAAATCATTGTATTCTCATATTGTCACGCCCCTGGACTCATTGTGTTGTTTTTCCCTCCCCAGGTGTGCCGTGTCTCAGTTAATTAGTCATTCCATGCACCTGTGTTCCCCTAATTGCCCAGTGTTTATTAGCCCCAGTCTGTGCTGTCTGTCATTGTCTGAGATACAGGTCAACCCTTGTGTTTCCTGTGCTCCTGTCTACCCCGAGTATTCCCGTGGATTTTGAATTAAAAGACTTCCATGAGTTGAAAACCTTGTCTCCTCGCTCCGTGCCATAGGCGAACCGTGACACATATCAGCCCATACATTTATACATGAATGTAAATGAGAGGCATTTAAACCGTAATAACCCAGTGTAAGGATTTCAGTTGCTTTGCAACATCACCGAAAAAACATAATGTCATGACACAGAGCCTGACGATTTCTGCTCCGTCGCCAAACAGACCTCGTTTTGAGTCAGTGGGTTTGCAGTAACCATCATTTTTATGTGCATTATGTTAGGTTTTATTATTTATATGTAAGCAGATACTATGTGATGCTGCATAACATGATCCGCAATGTTTTTAGCACCAGACTCCGAGTACTATCAGACAGAGTTGGCTGGTCATCCATTCACCCTTGCATGACAGTCATATGACTTTAGTTTGAAATGTTTTTCATTGCATAATGCATTCTGTTTGACATCCTATTTTTAAGGAATAGTTCACTCAAAATGAAAATCTGCTAAAATGTGCTCACCCTCAGGCCATCCAAGACAAGATTAGGATGAGTTTGTTTCTTCATCAGATTTGGAGAAATGTAGCATTGCATCAGTGTCTCAGCAATGGATGCTCTGCAGTGAATGGGTGCCGTCAGAATTCAAACATCTGATAAAAACATCACAATAATCCACAAGTAATCCACAGCACTCCAGTCCATCAGTTAACATCTGGAGAAGACAAAAGCTGAAACAAATCCATAATCCATAATAGCGCTTCCTCCAGTGAAAAGTGGTCTGGTCTGAATCAGGAGAGAAATCTGCACAGATCAAACAAGCCAAAGCAGTCCAAATATATAGAAATACATGAGACTTATTGTTTTAATGGCTGCATGTGTGCGACACAAGATAGAAAGAAAGTGCCAGCGGTTGGTGAAAAAAAAATGTATGATGTCAAACCTTGTGTTAATTTAATATATTACACGTTTAATGAAATATGCTTTTAACATTTACTTAACATTATTACTCTTTCATCTTGCTTTTGGTTACACGGTATGAAGTTTAAAATAAGAAATGAAGTCACAGATGCCTTTTTATTTTTTTCTCTCATCACGTCACGAAACAAAGTTCATATTCGTATCGGAAACGGCTTAATTAATATCCATGCTTTAATCCTTCGCCATAGTAGTATTCACATTTAGCAAAACTAGACATATTTTAAGCGTTCAGGGAGGTGTTCCAGGCGGGTTTACACGTAAAAACAGCTTACAATCACTGTTGAAGAGAGACTGTAAGAGGAGACAACAAGCACACACCCTCTCAGTGTTTACAAAGGGCGTGAGAAACATCATGATCTGCTGTTACAGAAAAGATTAAGTGCTGTTGAGAGGCTTCAGTTAGTGTTTTAAAACCGAATGACAAATGGCTCTAGAAAACGAGGAAGTGCAGGTCCTGCCTGTGTGCGGGTTTCTGTAAAGCCTTACTGCATAAATATGTAGGCTAATAGATCTAATGTGGTGCTATAGCGTTCTTGCAGTGGGGTAGGTTTATTAATATTAATAAAACGGTGTTTATTCAACAATTTTGTTGAATCCGCTTAATATTCAATTAATATTCATGAGCAGGAATAGCGGAAGTGGCTGTTAAGCCCCTCCCCGCAGGTATAAAGGCACCTGTTGGCAGTCAGCTGAGCGCAGACTCACCTGAGGAGCAGCAGATGGAGTCCGGGCAGCTTTCAGGTAATTAATTCAGGTAAATAAATCAATGTCAAATCAAATGAATGACAAAACAGAACTAAAGGAAAGAGGAATAGAGTATCTGTAATGCTTCTCGTTATTTGTTTGTAGACAAACGTTTTTTTAACAATAACTTGGATGAAATAATTTACATCTGCAACATTAACATTAAAGTTAGAAGTTCATTTCACAGTTGCACACCAGTAAAAACAGCTGTTCAGTGACAATATATATAATGAATGATATTTGTAGATTTTAATATAATCTTTTTTTAAACTGCATGTGTGCAGCTGCAGAAGAACGCAGGAATGAATTGGAGGAAGGGGGCGTGGCCTGTTCCGTGATAGTGTGTGACATCAAACCAAAAGTTCCAGGTGTGAAGGATAGAAAGGTAGGAAAGTTTAATCAAGCTTAGTACTTAGTACTAGATGGTTCACACTGATGTAAATTTCCCTTTCCCTTTTCCATTCACTGTGAAAGGATATTGATGCACTTTTCTTCCTCTCCAGAACGACCCATGGTCATGTGACAGCTCTGCATCTTCCTCCGACAGTGAGGATGATGATAAAAACAAGAAGAAGAAGAAGAAGAAAAAGCTGAAGAAGAAAAGAAGCAAGGTACTTAAATTGCGAAACAAGAAAGGGCCCAGTAGTGAACCCTGCGGCATCCCGCTCATTCCACCTGCTTGATTAGAGCTTAATGAGCACATCCTTCTTCTGCATATTATTATCTGAGGAGGAACTGCATAGATGTTGGCAAAGTGCTTTTGTTCCTGTTTTGTATGTCACTTTGGATAAAAGCATGTGTCAATGTAAATGATATTTGATATGGACACAGGAATGCTTTATTACATGCTTAATCCCAGAATAATACATGCATTTGAGAACAAAGTAGAGGTGAAAAGCATGATTATTAGACCATTTTCTGAGGCTTTCTGAATGCATGTCCTCACAAGTGTTTTTCAACATTTGAAGAAAAGAATTCCCTTCTTACGCAATTAGAGAAAAGGCCTGAGGCCAGAACAAACACACACACCCACAGAAAAATATGACAAGCATCAATAACAAGTTCTAGCAGGTTTGTATCCGGGTTGTCCAATAACGGTCACTTCCTCACACAGAAGTTCAGCTCATCATCATCTTCCTCATCATCATCTTCCTCATCATCATCATCTTCTTCCTCCTCTTCGTCCTCAGACAGTGACAGCAGTGAGGTGAGCAAATTAATTTTTAATAATTATTTTTTTTATAATTTAATAATTTAATTAATAATTAAGTTTAACTGGTTGCATGATATTTTGCACAGTGGCAACTAGTGCATGTGACAAACTTAACGTTTTACTGTCCTGTGATTTACTATAGTAAGTGCAAATCTCAGGCTTAAAATGCTTAGGAAATCTGTATTTCTCACATGTACTGAGGAGCTGAAAGTGCCACAATCTGCTGTGTTTTAGTGTAGAGATTTGTACTCTCTAATGTGAAACATAACCCAGAAGGCAGTCGTGGTCTAATGTTTAGAGAGTTGGACTTGTAAACAAAAGGTTGCGGGTTCGAGTTTCGGTACCAGCAGGGATTTGTGCCGCAGCAAAAATGGCTGCCCACTGCTCCGGGTGTGTGTTCGCGGTGTGCGTGTGTTCACTACTCACTGCTGTGTGTGTGCACTTGGATAGGTTAAATGCAGAGCACAAATTCCGAGTATGGGACATACATTCTTTTCACTTTTCACTTCAGAATGCACCTGTGCTCTATAACTAATCAGAGCGACAGATTTCACCAAATCAGCTTTAGGATTCATAAACACACACACACACACACAATACATCCCCTGTGGTTATGAAGGGAAGTTCAACTTTGCCAAAATTGTTGTTTGAAAGAAACATTAGAGGAATACATTGTTCAACTGGTTACTAGATTGATTTACATTCTTTTGATGATTCATAAAAATCTGCTTATGTAGTTCCAAATTGGAACTGACTTTTGTTATTCTGTGTAAAACAAATGGATTTGTTTAGCAGAATATTTGTGCTGCTCTTTTCCATGCAGTGAAAATTTTATTTTATTTTATTTTTGTAGATGGGGTTGGGGTAAATTTTTTATTTTAAGTTTAATTTAATTTAATTTAATTTTATGTCTTTGGATATGGATAGGGATGTTTTTTATTTTATTTAATTATTTTATTTTAGTGGATAGAGATGTGGATTTATTTTATTTTAGAGGATGGGATAGAGATTTATTTTCATTTAATTTTATTTTATTTTATTAATTTTAGTTTAGTAGATGGGGATGGGGATTTTTATTTTATTTTATTTTATTTTATTTTATTTTATTTTATTTTATTTTATTTTATTTTATTTTATTTTATTTTATTTTATTGGATAGGGATAGTAATTTTATTTAATTTTAGTAGATGAGGATGAGGATTTATTTTATTTTATTTTAGTGGATAGAGATTTGTTTTGTTGGATAGGGATAGGGATTTATGTTCATTTTAGTTTATTTCATTTTATTTTATTTTGAGCTGGACAACCACTCGTCATTGTATACTTTTGTCGAGTGGAAGAACAACTCATTCTGCTAAACATCTTGCATTCAATTGAAGAAAGAAAGTCATATGGGTTTGGAACAGCAGGTGTAAATGAAGACAGAGCTGAACTTTCAATACAGGCTGTGTTTATTTACCACTGTTTTCCTGCAGAGGAAGGAAAGTAGTCTGAGTCATGGTGTGATGAACAACAGTCACGGCTCGCTTGTGTAAAACAGGATTTGTAGAGTGTGTCTCATGGCTGCTGTCCTAATTATGAAATATGTGTGTTTACCACAAAACAACAACATTTACATCTTCTTCATGACTTATCTGGGTCACGCTCCCAAATTTACTCACTCACGCATTCTCCTCAACAGGATGAAAAGAAGAAAAAGAAGAAAATGAAAATCAGCGAAACGGCAGAGCTGGGGATTCTAGCAGAAACAGGTAAGACAGATCAGAGGACAGGTGTTTCAGTGTGTGTGTGTGTGTCTGTGTATCTGTGTCTGTGTGTATGTAATATGTGATGCATATGAAAGCCGGAAATAAGCTTGTTGCATAAATGAGTTTGGCTTGCTGCACAGTATATTTTTTTGTTTGTTTATTTTATTTTATTTTATTTTATTTTATTTTATTTTGAGCTAGCCAGTCACTAGTCATTGTATTCTTTTGTTGCGTGGAAGAACAGCTCGTTCTGCTAATCATCTTGTATTTTTCCCACTGGTCTTCTGAAGTCTGTGATGTTTTTTCAGGTCTGGAGGGAAATACTGAATTAACTCCTGCAGGAGAAACTAAAGGAGACGAGGAGAAGAAAAAGAAGAAAGACAAAGTAATTTCTCCTGTTCATTAAGACTGCCTCTGCTCTATTATTTGAATGACCTTACTTTTTAAATTTTTTTTTTTGTTTCCAGGATGATGTCTCACATTTTGTTTGCTCGCTTTTTAGTGCTTACTTTTTGCTTGATTAATTTTGATAATTTTTCCCAGGATGCAGCTGCAATCAGTTCAGACAGCGAGAATGAAAAGAAGAAGAAAAAGAAGAAGAAAAATAAAAAAAAGCAGAAGAAGGATAAGAAAAAGAAGAAGAAAAAGAAGAAGAAGAAGAAGAAGAAGATAAAGAAGGTATGAAGCGCAGAGGTTTGAAAGCGTTTTATTTTCACAGTATCTGTCTGGAATCTGAAATCTCTGTATCTGTGTTTCTTAGGATTCCAGCTCATCTTCCTCCTCAGACAGCGAGGATGATCACAAGAAGAAGAAGAAGAAGAAGAAGAAGAAGAAGAAAAAGAAGACCAAGAAGAAGAAGGTACAGCAAGAAGCATTTTTGTGTGTTGATTAGTTGTTTAATGGAAGCTGTTTTTATTCCCACACTATAATAATGTTCTTTTTAGCAACATCATATGACCCCTTTAAAAGATAATTACTTTTTTTTTTTTTTCCTCAATTTTAAGTTTAAATTTTTTTTTAAAAGGTAATTGTGACTTATCTCACAATTGAGTTTTTATATCTCCTAATTCTCAAACTTAAACTTATTTTATTTCAGCTAGCTGTCAAAGAAACATTTCTCATTTTCATTAAGTTAGACTTGACTTACTAAAATAACTGAAATAAAAACTTATAAAAACTATTTAAAAAAATATAAAAATGGATCAAAAACAAACTAAAATTAAAATGGAAAATACAAAATAAATTTTAATTAAAAATACTAAAAAAAAAAACACCTACGTATTTCTTTTCATAATTGCAAGTTCATAGCTATTCTGAGGTTTTTCTTAGAATTGTGAGAAAAAGTCACAATTACCTTTTTTATAATTTTTTTAACCTGTGGCAGAAACCAGTTTCAATAATGCTTGTTTAATGCAAGTTAATCTTCATCTCTTCTCTCTTTTTCAGGAATCAAGCAGTTCTTCCTCTGACAGCTCCAGTGAAGATGAGAAGAAGAAGAAGAAGAAAGACAAAAAGAAGAAAAAGAAAAAGGAAAAGAAGAAGGTACAATGCAGCCTGAAGGCTTATAAAGTTCTAGAAATCATCAGATTTTGTGTGTTTTTCGTTAAATGCAGACAAAAAGTCATTAAAGTCAACAAGAGACGACGTAAAATAAATGGGACTCATTTTGATTTCATGTTAATGTTTAAGAGAAGTTTATCTGTCAGTGCGTCGAAACATACTCTTACAAAAAATAAGACTGACAAAGAAAAGACTAAGGCTGCAAAAATGAGTCCGAGTGAAGTGAAGAGTGATACTGTCCGACACTAAGAGCTGCTGCTTTAATTGCCACACGTTCATTAAAGCAATACGCCCCAAGAAGCTGTGGTTTACAGTGAATTTATAACAGCTAGGGGGCGTTGTCCTAAATTCACTGTAAACCACGGCTTCACTGGGTTTATTGCTTTTATAAAACGGTTATTCCATATACATAGTAAGGTTTCAAACAATGTAGTTCCTCAGAAACAGTTGTGGTTGCAACAAAGTGGTTGTCGAGCAACACACAAACGTAAACAAAGGTGTGTGTTTGTAGAGTAATTTACAACAGCTTCGAACGTATCTCAGCCAATCAGAATCAAGAAACGGAACTCTCTGTTTTATAACTGTTCATAATAGACACAATACGTCTGACTCACATCTCTCAATGACTGTAGTTTGAGTTCAAAGTGTTGAAACCAAATTCACAAGTTGAGCTCATTATAACTCACTTGCAGGATTCAGGAGGTGAGTCTGAATCAGACGGAGAGAAAGACAAGAAGGTAAGGAACAGGACAGACATCGGCTGGAGTCTGGGTCTCATCTCAGGTGAGTGAGTGAGTGAGTGTTGGTGTAACTCAGACGCTGTTCATCTTCTGTCTGTCAACAGCACGATGGAAAGCTCACAGAAGACGCTGGCACTGCCACTTCATCTTCATCTGGTGAACGCTTTAGTTTCTATTTCTTTAGTGTAGCTTAACTCTGTTCAGATCTTTTAACTCCTGGGGATTTAAAAACTTTTACCAGGATTCCCACGGTCATGAATATTTATTTTTTTTAAATTGTGTTTTTATAATTTGGAGAACTCATAAAAACGTCTCCGGTTACGTATGTAACCATGGTTCCCTGAGTAGGGAACGAGACACTGCGTTCTCTAGGGGTCACTATGGGGAACGCCTCGTCGTGACCCGTGTCTGAAGCATACATTGAAAAAACACCAACAACACGTTGGCCGGCGACAGCCATGACGTCACTACCGTGTGACTACCTTGTGACTACCGTGTGACTATAGTATAAGGAAGAAAGGAAGGCTCACCTGAGCTGGAGGGTTATGGCCAGAAAGATAACGTTCGAGTAAAGCCTCGCCGTGGTGCGATCCATAACTTTCAAAAAGTTCATCATACGCAGGGCAGGAGGATTGGGAAGGCTCAGCCTCAGCTTCTTCGCCCCCCTCAGACATTTCCTGCTCTTCCTGGGCTGAAATCAGCAGAGCACTGGCCCCTGGTTCAGACGATGTTAATGAAATAACATCATCCTCCAGCGGCTCATTCTCGTCCATAGCCGACGAGTGCGAGAGGGAAAGCCCCTCTTTAAACTCATCGGCCAGGTCCACCTGCGATCCCCACGAGCTCATTCTCCTCCGTGCCTCAGCAGCGGCAGGTCCTGAA